ACACGAGGACAGCCCGTGCGGCCTTGGGGTGGATGGAGATGGGGACTCCACATGAGGCCCAGGACCTTGAGGACCTGCCTCCCTCAAGACTGAAGCCCAGGAACAGACCACCCACCAGCTGGGGAAGTGGGGAGGGGGCGGAACCCCAGGCCTGTGCACACGCCAGAGCAAAGTCCACACGTCACTGAATGGCGCAGAAACTCCCAGGGGGACAATTGACACGACAGTGGATCCGCTGGGACACTGAGGGCAAAACTTCTTATCCAGAAACTCTCACACAGAAATTCACACTTCAGTATCATCAATCCCTGCTGAAGGTAAGCTCACAATTCTAAAGAAAGACTTCATCAACCACGAACGCGGACAGACCCGCAGGAGGCGTTCAGCAGACGTGATGAGCAGGAGTTGTAGAAACCTAAGACTAGGAAACAGCCAGAGGGTGTGGACGAGACCGTAAAATAAGTAGGTTTAAAATGACTGAAAAGATAAAAGATGGTATCGAACACATAATCAAAGTAGAAGGCAAAAGAACAGACTCGATAAATTACTAAATAAAAAGTTTTTCTAAGTGAAAAATACAGCAACCAAGAGAAAAGTACCCAACATTTGAGTTTTACAACAGATTAGACACAGAGGAGAAGGGAACATGGGAGACAGTTTCAGGAAATAATCCGTCATGTAGCATCGAGGGAGGGAGAGGCGAAGGCGTGACACAGGGTGCTGAGACACGGTGGACGGAGCCAGAAGGTCCAACCCCTGCCTAATCCAAATGCTGTGGGGGCGTCAGGACCACGGTGAGAATGACAGTGAATGTTTATGAGTGCTCACTCGTCCGCACTCCGCCACCCAGAAACCTGCACACAACCCGGTGGTGCGGGTTCTGTGATGACCCCCGTTTGACAACAGAGGAAGGAGAGTCACGGGGTGAGCACAGAGACCACGGGAGGCCACCGTGAAACAGATGGCGAGGGGCGGCTCTGCAGAGTCAAGAAAGGGCCTGAGTGAAAGGAAGCACCAAGTACAGCACAAAACCCAGATTCCCCAATCCAAGCGGGGAGTGCCTGGACATCACAGGTACCCAGCAGAGGACAGGAAGAGCTGGGAGGACAAAACCCAGATGCCCCGATCCAAGCGGGGAGTGCCCGGACATCACAGGTGCTCAGCGGAGGACGGGAGGAGCTGGGAGGACTAA